AGGTCGTCGACGTACACCGTGAGCAACATGGTGACTTCTCCTCCCACTTTCCTGGCGTAGAGCCCATAGTCAGAAAGTGAGGCGCTCGAGTCCAATCTTCGTCAGGAACTTGTGCAATGTCTTGTTCCAAACGCGAGGCGCTTGCTTTAGCCCATACAAACTCTTCTGTAGCTTGCATACGTAACGCGTAGAGTCTTCTCCGAAGCCTGGAGGTTGCTCCATGTAGACCTCCTCGTCGAGATCACCGTACAAGAAAGCGGTCTTGACGTCGAACTGCAAGATGGCCCATTTGCATTGCAGTGCGTATACTGATCGTCTCAAATCTGATAACAGGTGCGTATGTTTCACTGTAGTCGATGCCCATGCGTTGTAGAAAGCCTCTGATCACTAGTCGAGCTTTATATCGCTTGATCCGGCCCGTAGAGTCTCTCTTGAGCGCGTACACCCACTTGCACGAAATAACACGCTTGCCCTTGGCCTCCGTGCGTCGCACAAGCACCCAAGTTTCGTGCTGCTGCTGTGAGTCCATCTTGACTTGCATCGCTGCTTTCCACTGCTTCCACTTCTTTGACCTTGCCGCATGCTTGTGACTAATGGGGATCTGCACATCCTCGACGTTCTGCCTCGTCACATTCGTCACTTCGTAGTCCTTGAGTCGGGGGGATGGCTGTCGCTTCCGCTTCGGTCGCGAGGTAGCTGCACTGTCGTCTGGCAACGACTTCTGCTTCGTGCATGGCTCCCAGTTCTCGTCTTCGTGAGCGTCACGTCGACTGTCCTTGGTCTTCGAGGCTCCCACTCGATTTGCACATGCTTTCGCCTTATTCTTGCCCTTTGTGTTCTTCCGCTTGGAACCTCCCACTGGAGCTGCTGGCTTCTTAGCGTCCTCGCTTGGTAGCTGTGGGTCACCACTTCGAGTCGCAGACTCGGCTTTAACTTCAACACCTTGGTCCAGGCTCTCACCAGCAGTGGCCAGCTTCGCCATCTCCGCTGTTCGCCTTTCTGCAAGCTCTGCAGGAAGCTGCAGGTACGTAGACATTGTCGTCCGGGTCGGCACGATCGGGATCTCCGCAGGTAAGTCGTAGTCTCCGTAAGCGTAGGTGTTTGCAAGAAGTTGCTCAATATACACAGTGTTCACCGTGTACTTCTCATGTGCCTTCATGTTTCCATCTCTGCACGTCGTCACTGATCCTGTGCGCAGGTTCAGCAGCTTATAGCCCTTGGTCTTCTCGCTGCAGCCAAGTAGTAAACACATCTACATCCTTGGAGTGAGCTTCTCCTTTCTCTGCCGAGAATCGTCAGGGATGTGTGCGTGCACCAAGCACCCCCACGTGCGCAGCACGCTGCGGTCTCGCCGCTCTCCGTACAGGGCCTCGTTCGGGGACTGCTGGTCCTTCAACACCGGCGTCGGCGTCTTGTTGAGCGTCTCAATTGCATGTAGGAAGGCTTCTCCCCATAATGAAACAGGCATTTGCGTAGCTTGTAACATTGATCTGACCTGCCGCATGGCGGTCTGGTTCGTGCGCTCCACGATAGCGTTCTCCTGCGGGCTGTAGGGATTGGATGAACGCGTGTCGATGCCGAGGTCCTTGCAGAAGGTCTCGAGCTGCATGCTGACGAACTCGCCACCACCACCGGAGAACAGCATCTTGATGGTCGCCTTCGGAACTGGGTCTGGATCCAGCGAATCTGCTTCTGAATCAGCTCCGTGGCTTCGTCTTTGTAATAGATATCCCCACTTGTATATCGTAGCTTCGTCGATAATCAATAGAAACGGGTTTGATTTCGATATTGTATCCACTCCAACACTGCATAGGTCGACACAAAGCTTGTGCAAGGGCTTTGTAGAGCGGGACGGCTTGCGCTTGTAGCTCATGCGCTTCGTCTTTGACGCTAAGCATGGAATGCATTCATAGAGAGCAAAATTCTTCGACTGCATGTTGATGCCAAAGTTATAGTTTCCTGACATAGTCTGGATAGTCTCCATGTTTACGTGGCCCATGCGGTTGTACAGCAACGTCATGGGGTTCTCAGCTTCACTGGCCTTGACACTCATCACGTTCTTGCTCTGACGTGGCGTCCACATGCGGTACATCCCGCGGATGTACTTGAAGCGCAGCTTCAATGTGTCCTTGACCAGCCACGTAGTCTTCTGATCATGCGAGACGCGCACCTTGAAGTTTCCTTTGAACTGCATGTAGGTCTGCGAGATCAGGTTGTAGGCAGCCAACTTGGCGTAGCTCACGTCATCAAGGAGGCGCTCCTCGATCTTGCCCGTGTGCTCGTTCAGCACTTGCATAAGCATTGTGCCCACAGTTGCGCGCTCGGTTGTGCCGTTGCCGAAGACTAGCTCTGCAACTGAGTCTTCGTGTAGCTCCGTAAACAAGGTAAGGTCGCTCGCGACGTTGGTCTGCGCGCCGCTATCCAACACCCACTCCACCATGTCCTGGTCCTTGTCCTTGTCCTTGTAGTTGAAGTTGTCACGCACCGCGAGTACATGCTCTTGTCCTTTAGCTTGAGTTGGTGCAGCCGACTTGGCTGTCTTCACAGTAACCACATCGATCATCCTGCGCGGCGGGTTGCTCGAGTAGTTGCTGTTGTTATTGTTGCCACGCTGGCGGCACTCAGGATCGCCACTCCAATGTCCTTGCTCTCCGCACGTGTTGCACTTCGTCTTCGCCTTTCGCTTGGCGATGTCATCCCTCGCACTGGATGAGCTCTTGATCTTCTGCCGCTTGTTCCGCCCACACGGCGATGAGCTGCGGCTGCGACGATTGTTGCGGTTGTTGTTGCCTCGTACTTGGCTGCTGCTCGAGTTTCGACGTCCTCTTCCGTCGTTGTGTCCGTCGCCACGGCCACCAACAAATGCGACATCTCGCTGGACGGCACGTCCACCTCCACCACGTCCTTGCTGTAGTTCAGTCTCTTGGCGTGACTGGTCAGCGAGTCGAAGGCGCTCGATCGCTTGCTCCCACGTAATGGACTGGTCACGTCCAATGCGTACTTCATGCTCGTTTACCACCGCTGGGTACACACGCACTGTATTTGACAATAGGATAGAGACGGCTTCCTGCTCATGCAGCTGCTTGTTCGCGCGGCGAAGTCTCTGTTGGTAGTCGTCGATGTCACGAATGTAATCGTCCAGTCGTTCGTCACGTTGCAGGCGATGATTCAGCATATCTTGCTTGAGAAACACGCTGTTTACGCCAGGATGGTTATCAAAGTGATCTTCCAGTGTACACCACAGTGGGATAGGATCAGCACGTTGAATAACACTTGTAAATCGCATCTGTAGCTCTTGACTAAGTCCCATCGTAAGTTCACGTTGAGCAACACGCAGTCGTTGCTTGAAACAGCCGCACTGTCCTTCGTTACGTTGGTCTGCCATCGTTTCGCGCTCCATGATGGGGTCCAAGAGGTGTGCGACGTCGAGAATGGAGCAAATCTCGACGCGCCACGTCTGATAGTTGGTATCGGTAAGTCTTGCGTTCAACTGCACGTGTCCGCTCTGGTTCATGCACCGCGTGCATCTGTGGTCTCCAACCATGGGTTCGTCCGTAGCGGAGTCGGTCCCGGCCTCGGTCTGGACTGGTTGCGCTGCAGCCTCGGACGTTCTTGGGTTTCTTGGCGGCTCGCTCTGACGCGTGCTGGCGCCGGCGGTAAGCTCCTCTATGCTTGGGTTTCCTCGGCGGGCCCGTACGGCGTCGGCACTCGCTGCGGTTGTGCTCGAGCCGCTGAGAATTCTTGAATGAGCTGCCTTTGTGGGCGTCGGGTGGATGTTTCCACTGGAATGTTCTGCACTTGCTGCTGATTTGTCAGTGTAGTCATAACGGTACCGAATTGGGCCAATAAGAGCTCGAGTTGTTGCTCAACTCGGGTTGATGACGCTTGTGACGTCGCATGTGCCTCGTCTGACGTTGTCTCGTCTGCTCTTGCAGGCAACTGCAACTCGTCGGACGCGCGCGAGCTCTGCGTACTCCGGACTGGGCTTCCAGCTCTCCTTCTTGGGCTCATAACCTGAGTGATGGTCGCTCCTCGGCTACGCCGAGTGGTGACCATTGTGATGAAGAAAGTAGTCGTAACAACAGTAAGTTGCAGGGACTGAAAGTCCAGCAGGGGAGAAAACCGAGTGCTGCTGCTTGCTCTTGACGGCGCAAGTTGTCGAGTGTGTAGCAGCACACGGAAAAACCCCGGTAACATATATTCGTAAAATTAGCAGTCGGATGGGGCTGGCGGCTCGCCAGCCAATGGTCCGTCGAAGTCCGATTTCTGGACGCGAGCATCGCGCCCTGGAGGCACCTGAGCCTCAGGTTTGAGCTGAACGCAGTCCTGGCTCTTCCTCCACACTTCACACACACAGTGACCTCTCAGCTTGTACAGCCTGCATAATTATCGATAGAGGGACCAAGACGGCCAGCAACCCGATTAGACAGAGTACATCAAGGATGAGGGCTTTGGGCTGCGCTTGCAGATGTCAACCAGCCGTGGGGAATGGAAGGAGAAAGGGTTGCAGCTCTAAGTTTCCTTCTCAAAAATGGCGCTCAACGATTGACGTGCCATCAAGCGCTCGTGTTGGGGCTGCTTGCCTGGACGAAGAAGAGTTCTACATGTACACTTCTAACGGCGTCAGGTGCGGGGCGCTCGTGGCTATAGCCAATGCACTAATGCAATGTACGTGGTGCATGTGCAGTACTTTAAGTACTGTAGAAGACAAGATATTGTTATCGAGGCGACCATCGAACAAGATATATTCATCATTTTGCTTTACACTAAATCCGTATTGGTCTGGAATAATTTTGGGGATTTCTAATTTTTTTAAAAACAAAATTCTAAATAAGGGACACTTTACACTACCACCAGTTTGAATATGACTACATGTAGTAAAACTAAACTTGTATTCTCAGAAAACTATTTTATTCTGAGATAAGCGCGTTTGTTGAGGAGCCAATACATACAGTAGATCTACTGCGTGCATGTAGCCACTTCGAATTAATTCGACTGCATCAAATTGTCGACTCGAGAGCTCCAGACATCAATTGCTGCTGCGTGTACTCCCACAGCACCAGAGCTCCGCTCACGTGCACATTCAGTGAGCGTACCAGTCCAAACTGGGGGATTTCCACACACACGTCGACAAGCTGCAGCACTTCGACCGGGATCCCTTCCTTCTCTCGCCCCAACACCAGCACCATCTTACGGGGCAGCGTGTAGCTCGCGAGACTCACACTGGACGCCGTTTGCTCCACTGCCACAATCGTGTAGCCCTCGCGCTTCCATCGCACAAGTGCTCGTCGTAAATCGTCACCTTGAGGTCGCACTTCTTCCAGTGGCATCCACTTGTGAGCCGTGGCGCTGACATTCACGAACGTGACGTCCTGCTGCGTCATCCGCAGGTTCGGCACGACCAGTTTCTGAGCGTTGAAGATCTCGCAAGTCCGTGCCAGTCCAGCCAGATTCGGGACCTTGTCCACCAAGCTTGCACACATGATAAGAGGCTGTCGAGGTCGTTGACGGGCGTTCAGCGTCGCTCCACGTCGTGCTGCGTCAAAGTCGGCACGCATCGCTGCAGGGAGCGCACTGTCCTCCAGCAGCAGCGCCGTCGTGTCAATTTTACGCTGCACAGTGAGGATTCCACTTACGCTATCCGTCTCCATGCTGCTCTTCTGCTCTGAAGGAGTTGGAGGGAAGTTCTCGAGCTGGTACTGCGCGTAGAGCTCGTTCATGGCAGTCTTGAGCTGTTCACTGAAGCGCAAAGCGTCGTCACGAGGTAAGAGCTCTCCGAACTCGCTAATGAAGCCAGAAGAGAGCATCCCCAGCAACGAACTCTCGTAGTCCGGGTGGAACTCGTCCAGTTGTCGAGCTTGACGTCGTAGCATTCGCTTGCACTCCTTGTTGTTGCTCAGATAACGCGCCGTGCCCTCCAGAAAGCGAAGACCTGGAGTGTCTTTAGAGCTTTGTTTCAAGTAGTGGATGTGGCGAGGAAGCACCTTGGCCAGCAGATACTGAGCCAGTACTCGAGTGTAGCCATGAGACGTATTCAACCACGGCAACATGGTCTCCAGCAGTTCTCCACAGTCGACGTCAAGACTGTTGTCGTCCAGCTTGGTGTCCACCAAATACGCCGACACAAGTAGCAGTGAAGCGCCCACTTGTGGCATCAGATTCGCATCGCCAAGCATGGGCAGCAACACGCCAGAGCAAATCTCCGTTGGGAACTTGGCAGCCATCCGCATACCGAACAGCTCCATACACTGGGCAGTTGAGGCACAGCAAATGCAGTAGCTAGAGTAGGAAGCAACTCTGTCAGCTGCGACTTGGTCACGTGTGCACTGACGATGCAGAGAGCCTGCCAGGAGCGCAGTTTCTTGCCGAACCCATCGCTGTTGAGCATGTGTTGCTTCTGCCACTCAGGCGTCACATTGAGCTTCAGAAGTCGAGCTGTCAGAGCATCAAAGAGCTGCTGCGTATCGTTACTGGACGAGCTCTTGTCGACAGCGACGTCGTCCACGAAGCTCAACATGACAAGCCGCACAAATCTGTCCTTGGCGTGGGTCGTGATCGCTGCTGTCTGGTTGCCATCGAGAGGAGAATAGCCTTGAAATCCTTGGAATGGAGCACCCGCATCCGTTGCCAGCTGCTCCTTCTCGTCGATCAAAGGTTCCTTATACAGCAGCAGCTCCACCAGCTCGTCTACAAAGGACAGAGCCGACACTGGGTGTGCACGCCACGTTTGACATAAGCGACACGCCAAGTGGAAGACCACGTTGGGTCTGTGTCTCGAGCCAAAGCGGATAAACCCTGCCAGCCAGAGCTTCATCGTCGAAGTCAGCTCAGCTCGCAGCAGGAATACTGGCTGGAACATACACGTCACGACAGCTCGAGTGAGCGCGTCAGGCTTGGCCTTGCTGTCGTTGTACGCCGTCCAGACTTCCTCTAACAAACTATCAATATCCTTCGAGGCCTGGACCAGTGACCCAGCCAGTTGAGCCAGCGTGAGAGACAGCACGTTGACCATCTGAATCAACGCCGAAGGGTTCATGCCGGCAGTGGGCAACGCCTCGACACACGCGTCGTAGGTCGCTCGAAGTAGTTTCGTGTCGATGAAAGACGAGGATTCCACGACACGATCCAGATAGGATCCACAGGACGCATCCTGCCCTTACCGTCGCCCCCACACGCTTGGCTTGTGCTGGAGTAGGTGAATGGTAGAGTGAGAGACGACACTGAGAGAGCGACGGGGTGCCCGCAGGTCCCAGCAACCTCGTAAAATGGATACTGCTGAGAAACGTTACGAACTTCGACAATGGGTGCCAATCATTATTACGAAACTTAAACTTCAAGAATGGTTTAATAATGGGTGCCAATCATTATTACGAACCTCAAACGAGGGGCTGCCAGTCATTCGGCAACCGGAAACAATGGAAAGCGCCGACAAGAAATACAGCGAATCAATAGAAGGTAGAGCAGCATAGCGATGCATCCTTACATACAAACGATTGAAGTACAGCACGGCTGGACAGTCAATATGCATTGGATCAGGCGAAGATATGCAAGTCGTAGATATGGTTTGAAATCATTGAGATAAACAGTGTAATGCGTATTTCATCCAGCTAACTCGCACCAGTCGATACGGAATGTATTCTAGCGCTTCTGATTCTCAAAGACCCGCCGACAGCATCCTCTTCATGTCTGATGTGGAGTTCTAGATCGTTCGTGGGAGGTCATAGCCCCACGATGCAGTGCACGTACGTGCATGGTGCACGTCCGGATTAACCCGTCCGAGTTTATAGCATGCGTACTTTTGTGGATGTCAGCTTTGCGTGGTACTCGCACCACTATGCCCCTCTCAGGTTCTGCATGTAGTAATTGTATCAGTGGCATTTGTGCGAGGACAGCGATAAACATCAGAGCTCATGCTTGCTGTCATTGGTGCTCTGGTACGAGTGCCCATCTCTATGATAACAATGTGCATGTTGAGCAATACATGTACTTGACAGTTGCTTCATGAGATGTAGCTTGTATCAATTAGCTACGTGATCCACTCAATACGTCGTACCATGTCAGTAATGTTAAGTGGCCTTGTAACAAGACAAGAGTCTTCAAGGCTTTTGTCCTTGTAGTTCGAGGTGCATGGGCGCCATTATGATGACAGTGTGCACAGCAAACGTCATGAAGCGTTGCTTAGTTCATTATAATTATTCTTTAAAGAATTTCATCATGAATCGTTTTGATCTTCAAAGTGTATCCGTATTTTTGCTTCAGTAGTTTTTTTTTCCACAAGTCACACATTTTATTTTTGAGTTATTATTGGCAGCGACGTCCTCTCCCCCCGTCGAGTGCTTCACTGGCAGAACGAGCAGCTGCAGGCTGCGGTAGCGATGAGCACTGAGATTGAACCGTGGTACTGAAAGCCGATCCGCTTTCTGCCGCTCAGTGTCACTTCAGATTTGGCGACTTTAAGACGCAGTCGGAGACCCTCTCCGGTCTCTTCGACATTCGATCGTACAATTCCTGTGTGTTCTTCATCATGGTGTGTGCTGCCTTATGCCAGCTGGTCGCTAACAAGCCCTATCATAGCACACTCGTTTACTGCGCCGATACCGACAGAGACCATGTTGTTCTAGTATGTAACACGCCATCGGGTCTGGACGAAGACCGACCTGTCAGCCCGAGAACAAGGACGCGCTCGCGCAACTCAACGATTACGAGGTAGGTCTGCAGAATAGTGACCACTTGTCCTATCCGATTTCACATGTATGCATCGGTCGATTGTGTTCCGTCAGACCCGCCCCATTTGGATCCAAGACTACTCAAACCACAGCTACCCAGTGGATCAGGCTCGATCCGGCAGCACCTCGGTGTATGTAGCAACAGTGACAACCACTACAAAGGTCAGTGTCAAGGACACGACTGCAGAGCACTGCAGCAACCCTACCGCCCTCACGGCTCTTCAGTGTCTTGACCCCAGTGCACGAGATCTACAACTGTAGCCGGGCGCCGATCTGGTGGCGGCACCAGTGACTGCAACCTCTGACCACTTCAAGACTGCCGTCAACCTAAAATGAACGGGCAACAAGGCGCGCGTGGGCAGCACTGTGCCACCGACCGCTTCGATCGATCGTGTACTTACGGTGAAGACTAGTACGGTGGTACACTGTGTACAAATGTTGCATCATCAAGAAAGCATTCAACAATCAAGTACTACATCTACACGTCCGGAGATTGCGCCAGTAACAAAGATCTAAAGAAGATCGTCTACTAGATCTACAGCAAGCACCGCTTCATGTCGACAATGACTGTAGCCTACAGCCCAAAAAAGGAAGCATGCTTGCCGCAAGTGCACGGGCTACCGGAAGTCTACGCAAAGATATTATTCATGTGTGCATCGGGCGTTGGCGGCGGAAGGCGTCGCGATATGTTTCTCATTGGAGCTTTGTCGTTCCTGGTTCAGCTGCTATAATCTGTGGATGTCGGTGCAAGGACTGCGTTTAAGATCGACCACGGCACGACTGCGTGCTCGCCGAACTCTGCAAAGGCTGCTTTGTCCTGTCTTCAGTCAACTTCGCCGAAGATTCTGGCGCGATGTCTTTGTTCGAAAGGAAACGCCAGGTTGCTCTTCATCTGTCTGTCCGGACCGAGTCTCTGCTGCGGAGCGCTCGTGCAGCAACAGTCGGCTCTCGGTGCTTAGGAGCAGTTTTGTCTTGGTGCTGCGCGCAAGTACAAGTCGGTACCGGAGTTAATACCGTTTCGAGTGGGTCGCATACCTCGAAAATAATCATCCCAGATCACTTCAAGTCCTTCACTCCGAATATGATCGTTTTTAGAATCTACAATCTAGAAGCGATCCAAATTGGTAATCCGGCGAGACGGCTGCCCCCTCGTGATTAATTTTCGGAGTCCCCGCGCCTTGTGAAGTTTGTGGCTTGAGCCGGCCAGATGGGATCATGGCCAGATTGCTCAAGCCAGATGGCGACGCAGTATAGAGAAGTTGTTTACGGAGCGGTGCCGGTGGGTTTTCATAAGAATCACGGGGCCAGGTTTGGCAGATCACGTGCTGCATTTCTCGATTGCGTGTCTCTGCTGAAGGTTTGTGGCTTCGGCCGGTGAGGTGCCAATATGTCGTCGTTTCCATCGCCCAGGCGGCGATGCTGACGCAACTTTGAGGTTCAATCGCTGCTTCGTTGTTCGTGGAGTGGTTTGGGTTTCGCCAAATTCAGGGTGTGACGGCCAGATAAATGCGTAGCACTGCCCGAATTTTTGTCAGATTGCGCTTGGTTCCGGGTTTTACTACGAGTTGCGCTGATTTTACACTAAAATTGCGTTTGTTATGAGACTTCGGCGCTTGATAAAGTGTCCGCTGCGGACTTCGATCAGGTGATTTGCCTTCACTACGCTAAGTTAGTGCAAACAATGTGGGGCCCGTGGTCAAATTGATACTAAAGCGTATTTTTGGGTAGGTGACTAGACATTGGATCGGTAAGCGTAGATCCGTTCGCTTATTTTTTTATCCCTGAAGTTTATGGTGTTCTAATTGATCTTTCGAGTATTTGTTGATGCTAGAATTGCGTGGTGGTGGAATGCCAGTCACGAAAATTGCGTTGATTCCTTGCCACTGTACCACGCAGTCAGTATGCTTACTGTCCTTACATTGTAGGATTGAGTTGGAAACGTTGGGTGGAATGTTTCTTGAAAATAATGCTAAGCGTAACAGTGGCCACTGTGCAACTTCGACAATCGTCGCTCTCTCAATTGGCTCGGTTTGTTCCATTTGGTGGCACATTTGCTGTTGATACTGAGCTGCTATCACTTGATAATCTGCTGAGATTTATGGTTCTCTGGAAGTATGCTGCAATCGTGACACTTTCAGCAATAGCGAGGCGTAAATATTTGAAGATTTGCATTGTGATTGCTCTATTCAGACGCTAAGAGACGACCTGCCCCATTCCACGAAGCTTGTGGGGACTGTAAACGCTCAGCCACCTGTCGGAGCACACACATTTACGCATCAATTGAAACAATCGGCGAGCCTTTACGAAGTCACATGTTGAAGGAGATCTCAAGTGGCTGCTGTTGTAAAGAGCTATTGGATTATTTTCTCTACCTTTGTGTCTATCACCAGCTCTACAGTCCACCCACTTGTCGTCGCAGTTCAGCCCTGGTGCCGTCTGAGAGTGCTCCTTGCAGCTTTGACCTCACTCTGCAATTTGCAGCAACCCTCTCAAGCCCTCTTCGACCTTCAAGTCTTCTTCGCCAAAGTCTTCTTCGCCAAGGTGAACTTCGCTTTACAAGTAACCAAAACTGTCCCACTCCATGCGCCAAGACGACTAACTACCAAGCACACAGAAGTCTCGAGCCGGAACGTCCATCTTGCACGCCACGAGACATGCACCCATTTCCTCCACCGCGACCTCACTCTGCAGAGTCCACTTGGGTCAGCTCGTCGACTTGGGCCAGAAGATGAACAACGTAGCCTAGATCTCACGTAGTGCACTCGGACATCGCCAAGAAGAAGGAATCCAGCCGGCTTCGACAGCATCAAGCACTCCAGAGAACGAAGCGAGGACGACACGGAGCACAGCGTACTAGTCCTTGATAGTACCATGCGTCTCCGTCTAAAGAGAAGCATCGACCTGTATCTAGAGAGTCGACTCGAGCGCTCCAGACATTAATTGCTGCTGCGTGTACTCCCACAGCACCAGAGCCCCGCTCACGTGCACATTCAGTGAGCGTACCAGGCCAAACTGGGGGATTTCCACACACACGTCAACAAGCTGCAGCACTTCGACCGGGATCCCTTCCTTCTCTCGCCCCAACACCAGCACCATCTTACGGGGCAGCGTGTAGCTCGCGAGACTCACACTGGACGCCGTTTGCTCCACTGCCACAATCGTGTAGTCCTCGCGCTTCCATCGCACAAGTGCTCGTCGTAAATCGTCACCTTGAGGTCGCACTTCTTCCAGTGGCATCCACTTGTGAGCCGTGGCGCTGACATTCACGAACGTGACGTCCTGCTGCGTCATCCGCAGGTTCGGCACGACCAGTTTCTGAGCGTTGAAGATCTCGCAAGTCCGTGCCAGTCCAGCCAGATTCGGGACCTTGTCCACCAAGCTTGCACACATGATAAGAGGCTGTCGAGGTCGTTGACGGGCGTTCAGCGTCGCTCCACGTCGTGCTGCGTCAAAGTCGGCACGCATCGCTGCAGGGAGCGCACTGTCCACCAGCAGCAGCGCCGTCGTGTCAATTTTACGCTGCACAGTGAGGATTCCACTTACGCTATCCGTCTCCATGCTGCTCTTCTGCTCTGAAGGAGTTGGAGGAAAGTTCTCGAGCTGGTACTGCGCGTAGAGCTCGTTCATGGCAGTCTTGAGCTGTTCACTGAAGCGCAGAGCGTCGTCACGAGGTAAGAGCTCTCCGAACTCGCTAATGAAGCCAGAAGAGAGCATCCCCAGCAACGAACTCTCGTAGTCCGGGTGGAACTCGTCCAGTTGTCGAGCTTGACGTCGTAGCATTCGCTTGCACTCCTTGTTGTTGCTCAGATAACGCGCCGTGCCCTCCAGAAAGCGGAGACCTGGAGTGTCTTTAGAGCTTTGTTTCAAGTAGTGGATGTGGCGAGGAAGCACCTTGGCCAGAAGATACTGAGCCAGTACGCGAGTGTAGCCATGAGACGTATTCAACCACGGCAACATGATCTCCAGCAGTTCTCCACAGTCGACGTCAAGACTGTTGTCGTCCAGCTTGGTGTCCACCAAATACGCCGACACAAGTAACAGTGAAGCGCCCACTTGTGGCATCAGATTCGCATCGCCAAGCATGGGCAGCGACACGCCAGAGCAAATCTCCGTTGGGAACTTGGCAGCCATCCGCATACCGAACAGCTCCATGTAGTAGCGAACACTGGGCAGTTGAGGCACAGCAAATGCAGTAGCTAGAGTAGGAAGCAACTCTGTCAGCTGCGACTTGGTCACGTGTGCACTGACGATGCAGAGAGCCTGCCAGGAGCGCAGTTTCTTGCCGAACCCATCGCTGTTGAGCATGTGTTGCTTCTGCCACTCAGGCGTCACATTGAGCTTCAGAAGTCGAGCTGTCAGAGCATCAAAGAGCTGCTGCGTATCGTTACTGGACGAGCTCTTGTCGACAGCGACGTCGTCCACGAAGCTCAACATGACAAGCCGCACAAATCTGTCCTTGGCGTGGGTCGTGACCGCTGCTGTCTGGTTGCCATCGAGAGGAGAATAGCCTTGGAATCCTTGGAATGGAGCACCCGCATCCGTTGCCAGCTGCTCCTTCTCGTCGATCAAAGGTTCCTTATACAGCAGCAGCTCCACCAGCTCGTCTACAAAGGACAGAGCCGACACTGGGTGTGCACGCCACGTTTGACATAAGCGACACGCCAAGTGGAAGACCACGTTGGGTCTGTGTCTCGAGCCAAAGCGGATAAACCCTGCCAGCCAGAGCTTCATCGTCGAAGTCAGCTCAGCTCGCAGCAGGAATACTGGCTGGAACATACACGTCACGACAGCTCGAGTGAGCGCGTCAGGCTTGGCCTTGCTGTCGTTGTACGCCGTCCAGACTTCCTCTAACAAACTATCAATATCCTTCGAGGCCTGGACCAGTGACCCAGCCAGTTGAGCCAGCGTGAGAGACAGCACGTTGACCATCTGAATCAACGCCGAAGGGTTCATGCCGGCAGTGGGCAACGCCTCGACACACGCGTCGTAGGTCGTTCGAAGTAGTTTCGTGTCGATGAAAGACGAGGATTCCACGACACGATCCAGATAGGATCCACAGGACGCATCCTGCCCTTACCGTCGCCCCCACACGCTTGGCTTGTGCTGGAGTAGGTGAATGGTAGAGTGAGAGACGACACTGAGAGAGCGACGGGGTGCCCGCAGGTCCCAGCAACCTCGTAAAATGGATACTGCTGAGAAACGTTACGAACTTCGACAATGGGTGCCAATCATTATTACGAAACTTAAACTTCAAGAATGGTTTAATAATGGGTGCCAATCATTATTACGAACCTCAAACGAGGGGCTGCCAGTCATTCGGCAACCGGAAACAATGGAAAGCGCCGACAAGAAATACAGCGAATCAATAGAAGGTAGAGCAGCATAGCGATGCATCCTTACATACAAACGATTGAAGTACAGCACGGCTGGACAGTCAATATGCATTGGATCAGGCGAAGATATGCAAGTCGTAGATATGGTTTGAAATCATTGAGATAAACAGTGTAATGTGTATTTCATCCAGCTAACTCGCACCAACAGAATTGTTTGTAGTCGATACGGAATGTATTCTAGCGCTTCTGATTCTCAGAGACCCGCCGACAGCATCCTCTTCATGTCTGATGTGGAGTTCTAGATCGTTCGTGGGAGGTCATAGGTTGCCATCGAGAGGAGAATAGCCTTGGAATCCTTGGAATGGAGCACCCGCATCCGTTGCCAGCTGCTCCTTCTCGTCGATCAAAGGTTCCTTATACAGCAGCAGCTCCACCAGCTCGTCTACAAAGGACAGAGCCGACACTGGGTGTGCACGCCACGTTTGACATAAGCGACACGCCAAGTGGAAGACCACATTGGGTCTGTGTCTCGAGCCAAAGCGGATAAACCCTGCCAGCCAGAGCTTCATCGTCGAAGTCAGCTCAGCTCGCAGCAGGAATACTGGCTGGAACATACACGTCACGACAGCTCGAGTGAGCGCGTCAGGCTTGGCCTTGCTGTCGTTGTACGCCGTCCAGACTTCCTCTAACAAACTATCAATATCCTTCGAGGCCTGGACCAGTGACCCAGCCAGTTGAGCCAGCGTGAGAGACAGCACGTTGACCATCTGAATCAACGCCGAAGGGTTCATGCCGGCAGTGGGCAACGCCTCGACACACGCGTCGTAGGTCGCTCGAAGTAGTTTCGTGTCGATGAAAGACGAGGATTCCACGACACGATCCAGATAGGATCCACAGGACGCATCCTGCCCTTACCGTCGCCCCCACACGCTTGGCTTGTGCTGGAGTAGGTGAATGGTAGAGTGAGAGACGACACTGAGAGAGCGACGGGGTGCCCGCAGGTCCCAGCAACCTCGTAAAATGGATACTGCTGAGAAACGTTACGAACTTCGACAATGGGTGCCAATCATTATTACGAAACTTAAACTTCAAGAATGGTTTAATAATGGGTGCCAATCATTATTACGAACCTCAAACGAGGGGCTGCCAGTCATTCGGCAACCGGAAACAATGGAAAGCGCCGACAAGAAATACAGCGAATCAATAGAAGGTAGAGCAGCATAGCGATGCATCCTTACATACAAACGATTGAAGTACAGCACGGCTGGACAGTCAATATGCATTGGATCAGGCGAAGATATGCAAGTCGTAGATATGGTTTGAAATCATTGAGATAAACAGTGTAATGCGTATTTCATCCAGCTAACTCGCACCAGTCGATACGGAATGTATTCTAGCGCTTCTGATTCTCAAAGACCCGCCGACAGCATCCTCTTCATGTCTGATGTGGAGTTCTAGATCGTTCGTGGGAGGTCATAGCCCCACCATGCAGTGCACGTACGTGCATGGTGCACGTCCGGATTAACCCGTCCGAGTTTATAGCATGCGTACTTTTGTGGATGTCAGCTTTGCGTGGTACTCGCACCACTATGCCCCTCTCAGGTTCTGCATGTAGTAATTGTATCAGTGGCATTTGTGCGAGGACAGCGATAAACATCAGAGCTCATGCTTGCTGTCATTGGTGCTCTGGTACGAGTGCCCATCTCTATGATAACAATGTGCATGTTGAGCAATACATGTACTTGACAGTTGCTTCATGAGATGTAGCTTGTATCAATTAGCTACGTGATCCACTCAATACGTCGTACCATGTGTCGAAACTGCAGTAATGTTAAGTGGCCTTGTAACAAGACAAGAGTCTTCAAGGCTTTTGTCCTTGTAGTTCGAGGTGCATGGGCGCCATTATGGTGACAGTGTGCACAGCAAACGTCATGAAGCGTCGCTTAGTTCATTATAATTATTCTTTTAAGAATTTCATCATGAATCGTTTTGATCTTCAAAGTGTATCCGTATTTTTACTTCAGTAGTTTTTTTTTTTCACAAGTCACACATTTTATTTTTGAGTTATTATTGGCAGCGACGTCCTCTCCCCCCGTCGAGTGCTTCACTGGCAGAACGAGCAGCTGCAGGCTGCGGTAGCGACGAGCACTGAGATTGAACCGTGGTACTGAAAGCCGATCCGCTTTCTGCCGCTCAGTGTCACTTCAGATTTGGCGACTTTAAGACGCAGTCGGAGACCCTCTCCGGTCTCTTCGACATTCGATCGTACAATTCCTGTGTGTTCTTCATCATGGTGTGTGCTGCCTTATGCCAGCTGGTCGCTAACAAGCCCTATCATAGCACACTCGTTTACTGCGCCGATACCGACAGAGACCATGTTGTTCTAGTATGTAACACGCCATCGGGTCTGGACGAAGACCGACCTGTCAGCCCGAGAACAAGGACGCGCTCGCGCAACTCAACGATTACGAGGTAGGTCTGCAGAATAGTGACCACTTGTCCTATCCGATTTCACATGTATGCATCGGTCGATTGTGTTCCGTCAGACCCGCCCCATTTGGATCCAAGACTACTCAAACCACAGCTACCCAGTGGATCAGGCTCGATCCGGCAGCACCTCGGTGTATGTAGCAACAGTGACAACCACTACAAAGGTCAGTGTCAAGGACACGACTGCAGAGCACTGCAGCAACCCTACCGCCCTCACGGCTCTTCAGTGTCTTGACCCCAGTGCACGAGATCTACAACTGTAGCCGGGCGCCGATCTGGTGGCGGCACCAGTGACTGCAACCTCTGACCACTTCAAGACTGCCGTCAACCTAAAATGAACGGGCAACAAGGCGCGCGTGGGCAGCACTGTGCCACCGACCGCTTCGATCGATCGTGTACTTACGGTGAAGACTAGTACGGTGGTACACTGTGTACAAATGTTGCATCATCAAGAAAGCATTCAACAATCAGGTACTACATCTACACGTCCGGAGATTGCGCCAGTAACAAAGATCTAAAGAAGATCGTCTACTAGATCTACAGCAAGCACCGCTTCATGTCGACAATGACTGTAGCCTACAGCCCAAAAAAGGAAGCATGCTTGCCGCAAGTGCACGGGCTACCGGAAGTCTACGCAAAGATATTATTCATGTGTGCATCGGGCGTTGGCGGCGGAAGGCGTCGCGATATGTTTCTCATTGGAGCTTTGTCGTTCCTGGTTCAGTTGCTATAAGCTGTGGATGTCGGTGCAAGGACTGCGTTTAAGATCGACCACGGCACGACTGCGTGCTCGCCGAACTCTGCAAAGGCTGCTTTGTCCTGTCTTCAGTCAACTTCGCCGAAGATTCTGGCGCGATGTCTTTGTTCGAAAGGAAACGCCAGGTTGCTCTTCATCTGTCTGTCCGGACCGAGTCTCTGCTGCGGAGCGCTCGTGCAGCAACAGTCGGCTCTCGGTGCTTAGGAGCAGTTTTGTTTTGGTGCTGCGCGCAAGTACAAGTCGGTACCGGAGTTAATACCGTTTCGAGTGGGTCGCATACCTCGAAAATAATCATCCCAGATCACTTCAAGTCCTTCACTCCGAATATGATCGTTTTTAGAATCTACAATCTAGAAGCGATCCAAATTGGTAATCCGGCGAGACGGCTGCCCCCTCGTGATTAATTTTGGGAGTCCCCGCGCCTTGTGAAGTTTGTGGCTTGAGCCGGCCAGATGGGATCATGGCCAGATTGCTCAAGCCAGATGGCGACGCAGTATAGAGAAGTTGTTTACGGAGCGGTGCCGGTGGGTTTTCATAAGAATCACGGGGCCAGGTTTGGCAGATCACGTGCTGCATTTCTCGATTGCGTGTCTCTGCTCAAGGTTTGTGGCTTCGGCCGGTGAGGTGCCAATATGTCGTCGTTTCCATCGCCCAGGCGGCGATGCTGACGCAACTTTGAGGTTCAATCGCTGCTTCGTTGTTCGTGGAGTGGTTTGGGTTTCGCCAAATTCAGGGTGTGACGGCCAGATAAATGCGTAGCACTGCCCGAATTTTTGTCAGATTGCGCTTGGTTCCGGGTTTTACTACGAGTTGCGCTGATTTTACACTAAAATTGCGTTTGTTATGAGACTTCGGCGCTTGATAAAGTGTCCGCTGCGGACTTCGATCAGGTGATTTGCCTTCACTACGCTAAGTTAGTGCAAACAATGTGGGGCCCGTGGTCAAATTGATACTAAAGCGTATTTTTGGGTAGGTGACTAGACATTGGATCGGTAAGCGTAGATCCGTTCGCTTATTTTTTTATCCCTGAAGTTTATGGTGTTCTAATTGATCTTTCGAGTATTTGTTGATGCTAGAATTGCGTGGTGGTGGAATGCCAGTCACGAAAATTGCGTTGATTCCTTGCCACTGTACCACGCAGTCAGTATGCTTACTGTCCTTACATTGTAGGATTGAGTTGGAAACGTTGGGTGGAATGTTTCTTGAAAATAATGCTAAGCGTAACAGTGGCCACTGTGCAACTTCGACAATCGTCGCTCTCTCAATTGGCTCGGTTTGTTCCATTTGGTGGCACATTTGCTGTTGATACTGAGCTGCTATCACTTGATAATCTGCTGAGATTTATGGTTCTCTGGAAGTATGCTGCAATCGTGACACTTTCAGCAATAGCGAGGCGTAAATATTTGAAGATTTGCATTGTGATTGCTCTATTCAGACGCTAAGAGACGACCTGCCCCATTCCACGAAGCTTGTGGGGACTGTAAACGCTCAGCCACCTGTCGGAGCACACACATTTACGCATCAATTGAAACAATCGGCGAGCCTTTACGAAGTCACATGTTGAAGGAGATCTCAAGTGGCTGCTGTTGTAAAGAGCTATTGGATTATTTTCTCTACCTTTGTGTCTATCACCAGCTCTACAGTCCACCCACTTGTCGTCGCAGTTCAGCCCTGGTGCCGTCTGAGAGTGCTCCTTGCAGCTTTGACCTCACTCTGCAATTTGCAGCAACCCTCTCAAGCCCTCTTCGACCTTCAAGTCTTCTTCGCCAAAGTCTTCTTCGCCAAGGTGAACTTCGCTTTACAAGTAACCAAAACTGTCCCACTCCATGCGCCAAGACGACTAACTACCAAGCACACAGAAGTCTCGAGCCGGAACGTCCATCTTGCACGCCACGAGACATGCACCCATTTCCTCCACCGCGACCTCACTCTGCAGAGTCCACTTGGGTCAGCTCGTCGACTTGGGCCAGAAGATGAACAACGTAGCCTAGATCTCACGTAGTGCACTCGGACATCGCCAAGAAGAAGGAATCCAGCCGGCTTCGACAGCATCAAGCACTCCAGAGAACGAAGCCAGGACGACACGGAGCACAGCGTACTAGTCCTTGATAGTACCATGCGTCTCCGTCTAAAGAGAAGCATCGACCTGTATCTAGAGAGTCGACTCGAGCGCTCCAGACATCAATTGCTGCTGCGTGTACTCCCACAGCACCAGAGCCCCGCTCACGTGCACATTCAGTGAGCGTACCAGTTCAAACTGGGGGATTTCCACACACACGTCGACAAGCTGCAGCACTTCGACCGGGATCCCTTCCTTCTCTCGCCCCAACACCAGCACCATCTTACGGGGCAGCGTGTAGCTCGCGAGACTCACACTGGACGCCGTTTGCTCCACTGCCACAATCGTGTAGCCCTCGCGCTTCCATCGCACAAGTGCTCGTCGTAAATCGTCACCTTGAGGTCGCACTTCTTCCAGTGGCATCCACTTGTGAGCCGTGGCGCTGACATTCACGAACGTGACGTCCTGCTGCGTCATCCGCAGGTTCGGCACGACCAGTTTCTGAGCGTTGAAGATCTCGCAAGTCCGTGCCAGTCCAGCCAGATTCGGGACCTTGTCCACCAAGCTTGCACACATGATAAGAGGCTGTCGAGGTCGTTGACGGGCGTTCAGCGTCGCTCCACGTCGTGCTGCGTCAAAGTCGGCACGCATCGCTGCAGGGAGCGCACTGTCCTCCAGCAGCAGCGCCGTCGTGTCAATTTTACGCTGCACAGTGAGGAATCCACTTACGCTATCCGTCTCCATGCTGCTCTTCTGCTCTGAAGGAGGTGGAGGGAAGTTCTCGAGCTGGTACTGCGCGTAGAGCTCGTTCATGGCAGTCTTGAGCTGTTCACTGAAGCGCAGAGCGTCGTCACGAGGTAAGAGCTCTCCGAACTCGCTAATGAAGCCAGAAGAGAGCATCCCCAGCAACGAACTCTCGTAGTCCGGGTGGAACTCGTCCAGTTGACGAGCTTGACGTCGTAGCATTCGCTTGCACTCCTTGTTGTTGCTCAGATAACGCGCCGTGCCCTCCAGAAAGCGGAGACCTGGAGTGTCTTTAGAGCTTTGTTTCAAGTAGTGGATGTGGCGAGGAAGCACCTTGGCCAGCAGATACTGAGCCAGTACTCGAGTGTAGCCATGAGACGTATTCAACCACGGCAACATGGTCTCCAGCAGTTCTCCACAGTCGACGTCAAGACTGTTGTCGTCCAGCTTGGTGTCCACCAAATACGCCGACACAAGTAACAGTGAAGCGCCCACTTGTGGCATCAGATTCGCATCGCCAAGCATGGGCAGCAACACGCCAGAGCAAATCTCCGTTGGGAACTTGGCAGCCATCCGCATACCGAACAGCTCCATGTAGTAGCGAACACTGGGCAGTTGAGGCACAGCAAATGCAGTAGCTAGAGTAGGAAGCAACTCTGTCAGCTGCGACTTGGTCACGTGTGCACTGACGATGCAGAGAGCCTGCCAGGAGCGCAGTTTCTTGCCGAACCCATCGCTGTTGAGCATGTGTTGCTTCTGCCACTCAGGCGTCACATTGAGCTTCAGAAGTCGAGCTGTCAGAGCATCAAAGAGCTGCTGCGTATCGTTACTGGACGAGCTCTTGTCGACAGCGACGTCGTCCACGAAGCTCAACATGACAAGCCGCACAAATCTGTCCTTGGCGTGGGTCGTGACCGCTGCTGTCTGGTTGCCATCGAGAGGAGAATAGCCTTGGAATCCTTGGAATGGAGCACCCGCATCCGTTGCCAGCTGCTCCTTCTCGTCGATCAAAGGTTCCTTATACAGCAGCAGCTCCACCAGCTCGTCTACAAAGGACAGAGCCGACACTGGGTGTGCACGCCACGTTTGACATAAGCGACACGCCAAGTGGAAGACCACGTTGGGTCTGTGTCTCGAGCCAAAGCGGATAAACCCTGCCAGCCAGAGCTTCATCGTCGAAGTCAGCTCAGCTCGCAGCAGGAATACTGGCTGGAACATACACGTCACGACAGCTCGAGTGAGCGCGTCAGGCTTGGCCTTGCTGTCGTTGTACGCCGTCCAGCCTTCCTCTAACAAACTATCAATATCCTTCGAGGCCTGGACCAGTGACCCAGCCAGTTGTGCCAGCGTGAGCGACAGCACGTTGACCATCTGAATCAACGCCGAAGGGTTCATGCCGGCAGTGGGCAACGCCTCGACACACGCGTCGTAGGTCGCTCGAAGTAGTTTCGTGTCGATGAAAGACGAGGATTCCACGACACGATCCAGATAGGATCCACAGGACGCATCCTGCCCTTACCGTCGCCCCCACACGCTTGGCTTGTGCTGGAGTAGGTGAATGGTAGAGTGAGAGACGACACTGAGAGAGCGACGGGGTGCCCGCAGGTCCCAGCAACCTCGTAAAATGGATACTGCTGAGAAACGTTACGAACTTCGACAATGGGTGCCAATCATTATTACGAAACTTAAACTTCAAGAATGGTTTAATAATGGGTGCCAATCATTATTACGAACCTCAAACGAGGGGCTGCCAGTCATTCGGCAACCGGAAACAATGGAAAGCGCCGACAAGAAATACAGCGAATCAATAGAAGGTAGAGCAGCATAGCGATGCATCCTTACATACAAACGATTGAAGTACAGCACGGCTGGACAGTCAATATGCATTGGATCAGGCGAAGATATGCAAGTCGTAGATATGGTTTGAAATCATTGAGATAAACAGTGTAATGTGTATTTCATCCAGCTAACTCGCACCAACAGAATTGTTTGTAGTCGATACGGAATGTATTCTAGCGCTTCTGATTCTCAGAGACCCGCCGACAGCATCCTCTTCATGTCTGATGTGGAGTTCTAGATCGTTCGTGGGAGGTCATAGGTTGCCATCGAGAGGAGAATAGCCTTGGAATCCTTGGAATGGAGCACCCGCATCCGTTGCCAGCTGCTCCTTCTCGTCGATCAAAGGTTCCTTATACAGCAGCAGCTCCACCAGCTCGTCTACAAAGGACAGAGCCGACACTGGGTGTGCACGCCACGTTTGACATAAGCGACACGCCAAGTGGAAGACCACATTGGGTCTGTGTCTCGAGCCAAAGCGGATAAACCCTGCCAGCCAGAGCTTCATCGTCGAAGTCAGCTCAGCTCGCAGCAGGAATACTGGCTGGAACATACACGTCACGACAGCTCGAGTGAGCGCGTCAGGCTTGGCCTTGCTGTCGTTGTACGCCGTCCAGACTTCCTCTAACAAACTATCAATATCCTTCGAGGCCTGGACCAGTGACCCAGCCAGTTGTGCCAGCGTGAGAGACAGCACGTTGACCATCTGAATCAACGCCGAAGGGTTCATGCCGGCAGTGGGCAACGCCTCGACACACGCGTCGTAGGTCGCTCGAAGTAGTTTCGTGTCGATGAAAGACGAGGATTCCACGACACGATCCAGATAGGATCCACAGGACGCATCCTGCCCTTACCGTCGCCCCCACACGCTTGGCTTGTGCTGGAGTAGGTGAATGGTAGAGTGAGAGACGACACTGAGAGAGCGACGGGGTGCCCGCAGGTCCCAGCAACCTCGTAAAATGGATACTGCTGAGAAACGTTACGAACTTCGACAATGGGTGCCAATCATTATTACGAAACTTAAACTTCAAGAATGATTTAATAATGGGTGCCAATCATTATTACGAACCTCAAACGAGGGGCTGCCAGTCATTCGGCAACCGGAAACAATGGAAAGCGCCGACAAGAAATACAGCGAATCAATAGAAGGTAGAGCAGCATAGCGATGCATCCTTACATACAAACGATTGAAGTACAGCACGGCTGGACAGTCAATATGCATTGGATCAGGCGAAGATATGCAAGTCGTATATATGGTTTGAAATCATTGAGATAAACAGTGTAATGTGTATTTCATCCAGCTAACTCGCACCAACAGAATTGTTTGTAGTCGATACGGAATGTATTCTAGCGCTTCTGATTCTCAGAGACCCGCCGACAGCATCCTCTTCATGTCTGATGTGGAATTCTAGATCGTTCGTGGGAGGTCATAGCCCCACCATGCAGTGCACGTACGTGCATGGTGCACGTCCGGATTAACCCGTCCGAGTTTATAGCATGCGTACTTTTGTGGATGTCAACTTTGCGTGGCACTCGCACCACTATGCCCCTCTCAGGTTCTGCATGTAGTAATTGTATCAGTGGCATTCGTGCGAGGACAGCGATAAACATCAGAGTTCATGCTTGCTGTCATTGGTGCTCTTGGTACGAGTGCCCATCTCTATGATAGCGATGTGTTTCCCAATCATGTCGAGCAATACATGTACTTGACAGTTGCTTCATGAGATGTAGCTTGTATCTATTAGCTACGTGATCCACTCAATACGTCGTACTATGTGTCAAAACGGCAGTAATGTTAAGTGGCCTTGTGACAAGACAAGAGTCTTCAAGGCTTTTGTCCTTGTAGTTCGAGGTGCATGGGCGCCATTATGATGACAGTGTGCACAGCAAACGTCATGAAGCGTTGCTTAGTTCATTATAATTATTCTTTAAAGAATTTCATCATGAATCGTTTTGATCTTCAAAGTGTATCCGTATTTTTGCTTCAGTAGTTTTTTTTTTCACAAGTCACACATTTTATTTTTGAGTTATTATTGGCAGCGACGTCCTCTCCCCCCGTCGAGTGCTTCACTGGCAGAACGAGCAGCTGCAGGCTGCGGTAGCGATGAGCACTGAGATTGAACCGTGGTACTGAAAGCCGATCCGCTTTCTGCCGCTCAGTGTCACTTCAGATTTGGCGACTTTAAGACGCAGTCGGAGACCCTCTCCGGTCTCTTCGACATTCGATCGTACAATTCCTGTGTGTTCTTCATCATGGTGTGTGCTGCCTTATGCCAGCTGGTCGCTAACAAGCCCTATCATAGCACACTCGTTTACTGCGCCGATACCGACAGAGACCATGTTGTTCTAGTATGTAACACGCCATCGGGTCTGGACGAAGACCGACCTGTCAGCCCGAGAACAAGGACGCGCTCGCGCAACTCAACGATTACGAGGTAGGTCTGCAGAATAGTGACCACTTGTCCTATCCGATTTCACATGTATGCATCGGTCGATTGTGTTCCGTCAGACCCGCCCCATTTGGATCCAAGACTACTCAAACCACAGCTACCCAGTGGATCAGGCTCGATCCGGCAGCACCTCGGTGTATGTAGCAACAGTGACAACCACTACAAAGGTCAGTGTCAAGGACACGACTGCAGAGCACTGCAGCAACCCTACCGCCCTCACGGCTCTTCAGTGTCTTGACCCCAGTGCACGAGATCTACAACTGTAGCCGGGCGCCGATCTGGTGGCGGCACCAGTGACTGCAACCTCTGACCACTTCAAGACTGCCGTCAACCTAAAATGAACGGGCAACAAGGCGCGCGTGGGCAGCACTGTGCCACCGACCGCTTCGACCGATCGTGTACTTACGGTGAAGACTAGTACGGTGGTACACTGTGTACAAATGTTGCATCATCAAGAAAGCATTCAACAATCAAGTACTACATCTACACGTCCGGAGATTGCGCCAGTAACAAAGATCTAAAGAAGATCGTCTACTAGATCTACAGCAAGCACCGCTTCATGTCGACAATGACTGTAGCCTACAGCCCAAAAAAGGAAGCATGCTTGCCGCAAGTGCACGGGCTACCGGAAGTCTACGCAAAGATATTATTCATGTGTGCATCGGGCGTTGGCGGCGGAAGGCGTCGCGATATGTTTCTCATTGGAGCTTTGTCGTTCCTGGTCAGCTGCTATAAAGCTGTGGGATGTCGGGTGCAAAGGACTGCGTTTAAAGATCGACCACGGGCAACGACTGCGTGCTCGCCGAACTCTGCAAAGGCTGCTTTGTCCTGTCTTCAGTCAACTTCGCCGAAGATTCTGGCGCGATGTCTTTGTTCGAAAGGAAACGCCAGGTTGCTCTTCATCTGTCTGTCCGGACCGAGTCTCTGCTGCGGAGCGCTCGTGCAGCAACAGTCGGCTCTCGGTGCTTAGGAGCAGTTTTGTCTTGGTGCTGCGCGCAAGTACAAGTCGGTACCGGAGTTAATACCGTTTCGAGTGGGTCGCATACCTCGAAAATAATCATCCCAGATCACTTCAAGTCCTTCACTCCGAATATGATCGTTTTTAGAATCTACAATCTAGAAGCGATCCAAATTGGTAATCCGGCGAGACGGCTGCCCCCTCGTGATTAATTTTCGGAGTCCCCGCGCCTTGTGAAGTTTGTGGCTTGAGCCGGCCAGATGGGATCATGGCCAGATTGCTCAAGCCAGATGGCGACGCAGTATAGAGAAGTTGTTTACGGAGCGGTGCCGGTGGGTTTTCATAAGAATCACGGGGCCAGGTTTGGCAGATCACGTGCTGCATTTCTCGATTGCGTGTCTCTGCTCAAGGTTTGTGGCTTCGGCCGGTGAGGTGCCAATATGTCGTCGTTTCCATCGCCCAGGCGGCGATGCTGACGCAACTTTGAGGTTCAATCGCTGCTTCGTTGTTCGTGGAGTGGTTTGGGTTTCGCCAAATTCAGGGTGTGACGGCCAGATAAATGCGTAGCACTGCCCGAATTTTTGTCAGATTGCGCTTGGTTCCGGGTTTTACTACGAGTTGCGCTGATTTTACACTAAAATTGCGTTTGTTATGAGACTTCGGCGCTTGATAAAGTGTCCGCTGCGGACTTCGATCAGGTGATTTGCCTTCACTACGCTAAGTTAGTGCAAACAATGTGGGGCCCGTGGTCAAATTGATACTAAAGCGTATTTTTGGGTAGGTGACTAGACATTGGATCGGTAAGCGTAGATCCGTTCGCTTATTTTTTTATCCCTGAAGTTTATGGTGTTCTAATTGATCTTTCGAGTATTTGTTGATGCTAGAATTGCGTGGTGGTGGAATGCCAGTCACGAAAATTGCGTTGATTCCTTGCCACTGTACCACGCAGTCAGTATGCTTACTGTCCTTACATTGTAGGATTGAGTTGGAAACGTTGGGTGGAATGTTTCTTGAAAATAATGCTAAGCGTAACAGTGGCCACTGTGCAACTTCGACAATCGTCGCTCTCTCAATTGGCTCGGTTTGTTCCATTTGGTGGCACATTTGCTGTTGATACTGAGCTGCTATCACTTGATAATCTGCTGAGATTTATGGTTCTCTGGAAGTATGCTGCAATCGTGACACTTTCAGCAATAGCGAGGCGTAAATATTTGAAGATTTGCATTGTGATTGCTCTATTCAGACGCTAAGAGACGACCTGCCCCATTCCACGAAGCTTGTGGGGACTGTAAACGCTCAGCCACCTGTCGGAGCACACACATTTACGCATCAATTGAAACAATCGGCGAGCCTTTACGAAGTCACATGTTGAAGGAGATCTCAAGTGGCTGCTGTTGTAAAGAGCTATTGGATTATTTTCTCTACCTTTGTGTCTATCACCAGCTCTACAGTCCACCCACTTGTCGTCGCAGTTCAGCCCTGGTGCCGTCTGAGAGTGCTCCTTGCAGCTTTGACCTCACTCTGCAATTTGCAGCAACCCTCTCAAGCCCTCTTCGACCTTCAAGTCTTCTTCGCCAAAGTCTTCTTCGCCAAGGTGAACTTCGCTTTACAAGTAACCAAAACTGTCCCACTCCATGCGCCAAGACGACTAACTACCAAGCACACAGAAGTCTCGAGCCGGAACGTCCATCTTGCACGCCACGAGACATGCACCCATTTCCTCCACCGCGACCTCACTCTGCAGAGTCCACTTGGGTCAGCTCGTCGACTTGGGCCAGAAGATGAACAACGTAGCCTAGATCTCACGTAGTGCACTCGGACATCGCCAAGAAGAAGGAATCCAGCCGGCTTCGACAGCATCAAGCACTCCAGAGAACGAAGCCAGGACGACACGGAGCACAGCGTACTAGTCCTTGATAGTACCATGCGTCTCCGTCTAAAGAGAAGCATCGACCTGTATCTAGAGAGTCGACTCGAGCGCTCCAGACATCAATTGCTGCTGCGTGTACTCCCACAGCACCAGAGCCCCGCTCACGTGCACATTCAGTGAGCGTACCAGTCCAAACTGGGGGATTTCCACACACACGTCGACAAGCTGCAGCACTTCGACCGGGATCCCTTCCTTCTCTCGCCCCAACACCAGCACCATCTTACGGGGCAGCGTGTAGCTCGCGAGACTCACACTGGACGCCGTTTGCTCCACTGCCACAATCGTGTAGCCCTCGCGCTTCCATCGCACAAGTGCTCGTCGTAAATCGTCACCTTGAGGTCGCACTTCTTCCAGTGGCATCCACTTGTGAGCCGTGGCGCTGACATTCACGA